AAATAACTTCAAAATAACACCAAAATAACACCAGGTTTCTTTGGGGTTATTTCAGCACCTCCAGAACCCCAGCAGGTGAATCCCATCCTCACTCACCTTGTTCTTTTTGCCATCCACCTCGAACACAGAGATGGAGCCCTTGCGGTAGATCTCGTCCCCCGGCGGGTGCTTCCACACACACTTGGCCTGTGACAGGGACACAACTTTTTAACTTTTCTGTACCCTCTATGCATCCCCCTGTATCCCTCAGCCCACGTTTGGAATTCCTGCAGCCTGATATTCCTTAGTTTAGGAATTCTGCTGGGCAGAGAGACCAAACACCCTGAGGAAGGGCTCAGTGTGCCTTGTGCTGTCTTAAACCCGACCTCCAGCCTTGAGTGAAGCCTTCTGTCCAGAACATCTTGTGTAAACTGGGCTCTGGGCTCATCCAAGGAAGAGATTCATTAGAAGAAGGAGACATTACTGCATTTGTGAAGTTTCTTATTGGGGAATCCTAGATAGATATGCTAATTCCTGAAATCTATAAAACTAGTGTGCATTCTGCCATCAAGTTGTGCACCTGGGATCCCAAAAACCAAGGTAAAACCCTTTTAATCGTGTCTGTCATTATTAAAATTTGGCTGTTAAGGCAACACTTTCCCCGGTTAAACACAGCTCAATACCGAGGTAAAACCCTTTAATCCCCTAAACAGTGTCTGTGATTATTAAAAATTGGCTGGTCAAGACAACACTTTCCCCAGTTAAACACAGTTCAACACTGAGGTAAAACTCTTTTAACCATGTCTGTCACTATTAAAAATTGGCTGTTAAGGCCACACTACCCCTGGTTAAACACTCAATACTGAGGTAAAACCCTTTTAACCATATCTGTGTCACCATTAAAACCTGGCCATTAAGGTAACATGTCCCTAGTTAAACACAGCTCAATACCGAGGTAAAACCCTTTTAACTGTATCTGTGCCACTATTTAAAACTGGCTGTTAAGGCATCGCTTCCCCCAGTTAAACACAGCTCAATACTGAGGTAAAACCCTTTTAACCATACCTGTCACTATTAAAAACTGGCCATTAAGGCAACACTTCCCCCAGTTAAACACAGCTCAATACCGAGGTAAAACCCTTTTAACCGTATCTGTGCCATTATTTAAAACTGGCTGTTAAGGCAACATTTCCCCTGGTTAAACACAGCTCAATACTGAGCTAAAACCCTTTTAACCGTATCTGGGTCATTATTAAAAACTGTCTGTTAAGGCACCATTTCCCCAGTTAAACACAGCTCAACACCGAGGTAAAACCCTTTTAACCATATCTGTCACTATTAAAAACTGCCTGTTAAGGCACCATTTCCCCAGTTAAACACAGCTCAACACTGAGGTAAAACCCTTTAAACTGTACTTGTGTCATTACTAAAAACTGAACGTTAAGGCATCACTTCCCCCAGTTGAACACTGCTCAATACCGAGCTAAAACCCTGTTAACTGTATCTGTGCCATTATTTAAAACTGGCTGTTCAATGCAATATTTCCCC